AAAGAATGAAATTTTTGCACATTTTTATTTATATGTATAAGTTAGCTTTAATGTTCAACCATTGAAACCTCTGAATTTGTTATTAGTGCAGGTGTAAGCAGAAAAGCTCGCCTTACATCAGTAACTCGATACAAACGGTTAGAAACCTATGAAATCCTTCTCAACGACTGCAAGGTATTCATCTTTATGTTCGATCCAAATTCAAATTTGAATCAGGTGATTCGAACTTTTGTTTTAGAGAGGATGAATTCCTAATGTCGTTCAAATCATCACACTGTGACACTGTTCACATTGATGGTTTGGTGTGATTTGAAAATGGATTCCTTTACTCCGTGGATGTTGTGTAACTCCTTTGAAAAATATTCTTTCAAGGATTTTTTTAAGGCTTAAATAAATGTTCATTTATGGTTATTCACACCTGAGGTTTCGGAAAATCTGTTTAGATGAGGAAAACATTCGTAACTTTTTCATTCAATACCTTCAATCAAGCAGCCAAATTTCTGTTTTTGTTGTTGGTGAAGATTTTGCCTCTCACTGTAATCGTGGCTGTGGTTCTTTCCTGTAAGGACCTGCTGATTATATTGAGTTTGTCGTATACGTATATCTGTCACATAATCCAATTTCATGATCCATTTCTTGTCATACAATGGTTCGGCATGACTAACGGACGCAAAAATTAGTTACCATAAGTTTTCCTCTTAAAGGCCATCTCACTTCCGTGTAAAGAAGAAGTGATTGATGCATTGATGCTGACTTCCCATATCTTCACACGTTTTTTTTTGTAAGAAGCCTTAAGTGCAATACATCTGTTATTAATAACACTATCGGATAACGTTAGCTGCATTTAGAAATTGGGGTAAATATTTGAATAAATAAATAAGGCAAATTCTATACGCATGTAGGTAATATTGGTAATCAGTAAATAAACATAATAACCGAGGAAATAGAAACGAACCAATCAACAATTGCATCCAATTTATTGTATCTTAACGTCAGACTGAATGTCCTATCCTCTTATATGGCATCTGAGTATATTTCTTTTACAATCCTGAAATGAACCGTTCAGATTCTACCTTTTTATTAGGTTGGTCATGAAACATTTTCCGTTATTACGGTTAATTAGAACGGTTGCATTTCGCGGAATGGTAAATATTTTTATTAGGACAAAAACGCTGCATCTCACAGAACACCAAGGTTCCGCGAAACACCTTTTGGGAACCGCTGGTCTAAAGTGCCATACTGACCGGCCTTTACCTCTATCGCCGTGATAAATTGACGATTTCGCTATAAACTCTCACTCGTAGACCCGAGGCATCCAACCATGACAGCATTACAAGGAAATCTTGAAGGCATAACAGCAAAATTAGACATTTCATAAAACGCCGATGTTTTATGAAAAAGTATTTCAAACAACTGGTCAAAGCCTCAATCTTCAATCTTCATTGAGGCTTTAGAATTGTTCGTCTATCCCCACTCGGAGGGAGTGAAAATTGGTTCGCAATATTTCAGGTCTTACGAAAATTTGTGAGATTTTTGTACTTTTACCATGGATAAACTATGATTAAACATACATACAATTTAGACATCTTTTAGAAGTGAGTTAGTTTAATATCAAATATTATTGAAAATTCATTTCTGAATTTTTACCCACTACAAACTACCTCAAATTAATGAAGGAAAATTTGTTGCTGTTGTCAGGGCGGCAAATTCCCGGTGGCAACAAAATTCGATGCTTGAGAAAAAAATTGCGCTATGAAAAATGCTTATAGAACGCATTTACAATTAAAGTTTACTTTCTTGAATATTTCGGTAGAAATATCTTTTAAATGAATCATTGGGTTGAGGTGCGATTTACAGCATTTGTTAATGTTTGAGTACCACATCTCGATTTCACTAGGTGAAAAAAACTTTTTTTGAAACTTCGTTAACACTATTCTCTAACAGATCAACTGATTGTGATGATATTTACAGCATTTCGGCGTAGCTTTTGAGCTTTAGCTACGATTTTAAAACGTCCAGACCTGATGAATATTCGATTTTCGACGTGAAATCAATAACTTCCCAATTTTGAAAAATTAGTGGTTTTCATAGCGGAAGGTCAATAAGTATTCTGGAAGTGGATAATGGAGCGGCATTTTTTACGGTGCTCAGGGCGGCATTGAGAGAAAATCCGGATCTATCTCTCCATAAATAGTAAAAGTATTATTTACGAATATCTTATTATTTTAAGACTGCTTTTGTACACTCTTGTCGTTAGCCAATATTGCAACATTTTAAAATAATGGAAATTCTAGTTTTATAGCGCGCCACTTAAACTACACATGTTTTCAATAGTTCGGCTACATAACCATAAGAATATGTCTTCATGACTGTATTTTATGTTGTACGACTTCTTCATAGTTATTTAATGTGTTCGAACATTAATAAATACTGAAGGAGGATGTGCAATAAATAAAGAACAGATACCTAGGCATCTAGGTACCTACAAGCTACGACACTCGACAAGATTGAATAATAATTAGATTCATATCAGAAACGTGTGTTATAACAGTTTATGCAGCAGTAATACATGTGCGAGACTAATGGATGCTTTGAAATCTGCATAGAGAGAGAGAGCAAACACAAAAAGAAATCGTACAGTGTATTCTCTATTTGGGGATGTTGCATTTCGTACGAACAGTTTTATATTGAACGAAGAAACATGTGAAAGGAAGGTTAATTCTCTTTTTTCTGCATCATCATCATCATAAGGTCTTCAGTCCTAAGACTGGTTGGACACGCACCTCCACTCTTTCCTATCCTGAGCTAATCTTCGCATTTCCCTAAAGCTAAGGCAACCCACATCCTTAACTATTTGCGAACAGTAATCTAATCTAGGTCTACCTCTGCACCTCCTAAGATCTGTTTCTGCCTCTAATATGTCTCTGACTAGACCTTCAGGCCTGAGAAGGTGTCCCACTAACCTATCACGCCTATTTCTTATTGACTTCCATAGCGTTCTCTTTTCTCCTATTCATTCTAATACGTCTTCATTTCCAACCTTCTCTATCGATTGTATTACTATCATTAGCCTGTAACACCACATTTCGAACGCTTCTAACCTTTTCTTTTCCGCCGCGCCCACCGTCCATGTTTCGTACCCGTACAGCGCCGTGCTCCAAACATACACCTTTAACAACCTTTTTCGAATTTCTAAATTAATCGTTCGCGAGCATAGAAGTGACTTCTTTTTATTGAAGGCGACTCGACCCTGCACTATCCTCTGTTTTATATCCTTACTACCCCTTGCGTCCTGACTTATCTGACTTCCTAGATACCTAAAATCGGCCACTTCTAATTTTTCGTCTCCTATCTTTATATTCACTCTTTCCCTACTTTTCCTTCCCTTGCATACCAGTATTTTTGTTTTATTTTTATTTATTTTCATACAGTACTGTTTTGTCAATACCGCTTCCATTTTATTTAAACCTATCTCTAACTCCTCCTTGCTGGATGCTAATACGGCTATATCAACTCTTTTTTCTTGTAACAAAAGTTTTGTTAACAATTTATTGAAGTTATACATCAGTACAAGAAGAAGTTCACTTAGAAGTCAGCATATATTTTATGTAACTGAGGCTGTTATTACAGATATTAACATTTTTACATCAGTAGCTGACATACAAATTATTTCAATCTTCTTTCTTCGTAATTCTAAGAAAAGAAAAAAAAACAAAGAATGCGATTATATCCACCTTATTGTAATCTCATGTTGAATATTCGCGTTTCTTTGCATTTTTAAGTAGCTAGTTAAAAAGTTCGCATGTCAATTTGTAGTCGGCGGTAAGTTGAAACAGTTTGCGTTTCACGAGGTCAAAGATCCAAGCAATTTAGTAACAAGCATCAGTAGCAGACGTTCTTGAAGGCGAGCGCAAATAAATTGTAACGAAAATGATGTTTTCGTTTGAAACTTCCGAGAAATGTTCATCGAAGGTTCAACTAACTTCGGTCCCTAGGCTAAAATGGCATAGTTAGTTTGCACGACGCTGTTGCTCCATAAAAGTAATAAGTACTTGCTAATTTTGCAACAAGCTCACGAACCATTGAATAGAAATCGTTAGTAAAAACGACGGTTTCTAAAACTTTCTTTGCAATGCCATTTGTGTTGGGTAGATGTCCTTCAGAAAATTTGAAATTTTTGTACGGTAGAGTACCTCTGAATTCTGCCATGTGCAAAACAAATTGATAAAAAATATCTTACTAACATATTGTAGCGACCACGAGCGTGATTGTGTGCGATTGGGCATATGTGTGTGTGAGCGGCTTATCGATTCGCCGACTAGCCGCGGGCGCTTTTCTTCATGTGCGCCGTATCTGTAAACGTGTGTGTCGTACCTGCGAGACTTCTCTGGACGGCTGGAGAATGTTCCCGAAAGGAGGCAAGGGAGTATAAAAAAGAAGAGACGATCGCCGAAGTAGAGTAGAAATAAATTGACCGTTGCAGAAGTGAATCAAGAGATAAGTAGACAGTGATGGATGTGAAATAAATAGAACAGTGAATAGTAACAGTAGTGTAAATAAATAGTTTTTGTCATTGTGAGTCTTAAAATTTAATTTGTTAAACCCACGAACATTACAATATGTTTGTAGTAGATATAACAAAGTAGTTGGGATACAGTGTCTAAAAAATTAAATTCATAAAAATTCAGCTGAATTGGGGTATTCAAACGTGCATCCCGGCACAGCAATAAAAGGACAACGCCCTAACTAGGGCATGCGAGCTTCGTTCTCTGAATACGCGTTTCTTTCCATTGTCCCAGTAAAGTATAAGGGGTAATTAGGTTAACAATTTCATCGCACCACTACCTCGCCACTGTCATCATCTTCCTCTTATTCCCTATGTTTCTTCAATGCATCTTGTGGTTGCTAAACCAGGCCATGTCCCCATCCTACGAAAGAACTCCATTGCAGTCAGCCTTGGCTGGTGCTGCCGCTTTTCCACTAACGCACGTTCGTAGTCCGCGCAGTTCGTTTCCCTCATGTCTGGTGTTCACCAGGCTACAGACAGAGCCAACGTGAAGTCTTTCTTTTGCGGTGCCAGAAAGCAATAATATTTTGAACTCCTCGGCTTTTTATTACTCATATTTTTTGGTGCCAGCTTTTATTTTGTTTCCTTCAAAGGTCTTCTTCTGAGGGTTTATCGTTAGGGTTGTTTGAAACGTACTCTTTGTATACTTGCGTGGGACTGGGCCCTAATATTCATAATAAGACGTGTCGGGTTATTGGTTGTTGGACAGTAAATCATTATTTTATATTTTTTTTACCGAATTCACTAAACGTGCTACCACTAGCTATGCACCGGTAATTTATAGAACAAAGTTACGGTCATTGTGTTAGAAGTGTTGCTAATACGTCGTGATCCGTGACTATTCTATGTATGACAAACAGTAATAGTCATTGCTGATTAGTTGTCTGGATTTTTTTTTAACAACACTGCAAAGTTGCAACAGCTACAGTGAGTAATTAAAATGCTTTTTTAATAATTCATTTTTTATTTTTTTGTAAACATTTAATAGTTTAATTAAACTTTAGTTCTTTTTACCTCATTGAAAAGCTTTTAATTCTGAGTGGAAACGTTTTATATACCTGGTATAGTAAGTGTTGCTATGTTGTATTTCTTGAAAACTTCGGTTTTAATGTTCCTCTTATTAATTATTAATTAAATAGGCACATGATTGAAGAATAATTACCCATAGATATTTGTATTAAAACAACAAAAGTTTGGTAATTGAATTGAAAATAATTTGTAAGTAAATAGAGAAATTATCCTACTTTGGGAAAGTCGTAAACCTTTGTTTCTAACGACTGTATAATTACGAATGGAAAATTCTCTATAATTCTATATATAACAACTACTTATTGGAATCAACAGAAAGAAACAATTGGTTGTATATATCCATATCAGTTTATTTAACATTTACATAAATTGAGTAAAAAACAAGCACGCGGATATTAGATACGTACGTGTATGTTCGTATTTTTCTAGCAAGTAGACAATTTACCTGCCTATTTTTTTTACTTGTTTTCTGTTTTTATTAAAATTGTGGCGTTTCCATTATCTGAAAGGTTAGTTAAGGATCATGTGTAGAATGATTTATCCATTTATGCAAACTGTTGCTAGAACTTAGGCTGGCAATCTAAAAAGACATATTCGCTTCTCATGGTATACGTCTGTGTTAAAAATTCAAATGATACATCGTTTTTTAGGGATGGTAGTTGATGTTTCATCATCAGTAGCTGAAACCAGCAGTCATTAATAATACTGAAAACAATTCTTTAACGAAAAAGATGGTCAATAAACTGAGTTTTTCAATTATATTTTTTATGTAATAAACGCTCTGAAGCAAGACTTCTTGAAAATATTTTATTTAATTTATTTGATACTTTTGATGCCCACTACGGTTGAGATCAAGGGATAGGAACCGTTATGCGTGGTTTATTCTTTACAGGTTGATGTTGTTAATACGTTTTAGGCATCTAGTGTTAAAGCGTTCCGCATCGTTTGTTATTCAGTCAACCTTAATTACGAGGGTGGATTGATAAGTTTCCGGCCTAACCAAGAGATGACGCCACTAGGCCTACCTTGAGGTGACATTCTATAGTACCATCCTTGGATAGCTTGTAGCTATAGTTTCAGCCCGATCTCCTTGCTAGTGTAGGTTTGACAGCACGCTGAACAAGACGCCTCTGTGGTTTTCGTAAAAATGGAAAAGCAGGAAAATCGTGCTGTCATCAAATACTTTTATTTGAAGGGGTTAACGCCGAAGGAAATTAAAAAAGAGATGGACTCAACACTGGGGACATCCTCCCCGTCATATTCAACCGTTAAGCAGTGGGTTTCCGAGTTTAAAAAGGGTGGTGTGAGCACCTCTGATGGGCCTCGCTCAGGACGCCCCGTTGAGGTCACAACTCCAGATATGATCGAAAAAATTCATCAAATAGTGCTGGGAGACCGCAGATTGAAAGTGCGTGAGATAGCTGAGACCTGTAAGATGTCATATGAACGTGTGCAACATATTTTGCACCAACATTTGCATATGGAAAAGCTCTGTGCAAGATGGGTGCCGCGTTTGCTAACAGTCGACCAAAAATTGATTCGAAAAAACATTTCTACCGCAAATTTGTCATTGTATAAGCGTAATCCAAGCGAATTTTTGCGTCGATTCGTAACCGTTGACGAAACGTGGGTCCACCACTACACTCCTGAAACCAAAGAACAGTCTAAACAGTGGATTGGACCAGGGGAACCAACTCCAAAGAAGGCAAAAACAATTTTTTCGGCGAACAAGGTTATGGCTACTGTTTTTTGGGATGCAAGAGGTATTATATACATTGATTACCTTGCAAAGGGTAATACTATCACTGGTCAATACTACGCAGACTTATTGCAACGTTTAAGCCACGAGGTGAAAATTAAACGACCTCATCTGGCGAAGAAAAAAATCTTGTTTCATCACGATAACGCACCAGCGCACACGTCAATCGTTGCGACGGCTAAAATCAACGATCTAAAGTTTGAATTGATGCCGCACCCTCCTTACTCTCCAGACCTAGCCCCGAGTGACTATTTTCTGTTCCCTAATCTCAAAAAATGGCTTGGCGGTAAGAGATTTGCGGACAATGAAGAAGTAATCGAAGCTGTAAATGGTTATTTTGAGGAGCTTGACGAATCAGTCTATAGAGATGGCATTAATAGACTGGAACACCGCTATGAGAAATGTATCAGCCTTGGAGGAGATTATGTTGAGAAATAAAAAAAAAAAATTTTTAAAAACCTTGTTTTTCTTGGTCAGGCCGGAAACTTATCAATCCACCCTCGTATATTTCAATAATATTTTACATCTAAATTTTATATGATTTAATAGATACAATGATTTACATTCGCTTGAGTTAACGAAGAAAGTCAGAGATTCCTATTATTTGGCAAACGGATATTGATTAGATCTTCTGCAAGAGTTACACATTAATTTTAAGTATGTCATCGAAGAAGTATGTACGTAATATCAAAATCATAATGCCCGAACGCCATGTAGTTTACACTGTAACGAGAGACATAAAAAAAATTAATTGCTTTCTTTGAAACTGATATGTCGGTGCCTGACTTTGACATCACCACTATCACGCGAAATGTATATGACAGTTTAAAATAAACATTAATACAAAAATTACTTCGTTATCGTGACATGGTATTTAATAACCCTTTATTCCTCGAAATTTGTATTTATAATTTTCTGAGGAATGTTATGGTTATGAGTATGGCTCCAAAATTCTTATGAAATATATTTAAAAATGCTACAAAAAGGTAATGAAATTAATATGTTGAAATTCCAGAGTGTGTTGTGATATTTGCTTCATGCAATTTCTAATTCAGTCGTAATTATCAGCATGTTTATTATTTTTTATTTTGGATAAGGTGTTTATCGACCTAATTACTACTTTTTATTGTGGCTAACAGTTACATTGATTTATCTTGATTATTGTGTTTATAAACAATTTCATTGAATATTGTTCGATTCAAAGGTAAACGAATTCCATAAAACTAAAGTTAAAAATGTTCGACATTTTATGGAACAATTAATTTCACCTGTCTCCTTTATTTATTGTATACGTTACAAAACTATCCACGAAAAAATTAAAAAATTTCTGAGTTGTCTGAGAAACGAGTTGACCACCTTATAAAATTCGTCAATTTGACACTAATTTGTTAATCTATTTGTATGTCAAAAATCATTAAATCAGGTGTTTTTTACAATTTCAGCATCATCATAAGGTCGTCAGTCCTAAGACTGGTTGGACACGCACCTACACTCTTTCCTATCCTTAGCTAAACTTCGCATTTCCCTAAAACTAGAACAGCCCACATCCTTAACTATTTGCGATCAGTAATCTAATCTAGGTCTATCTCTACCCCTCCTTACTTCCGTTTCTGCTTCTAATATGTGTCTGACTAGACCTTCATGTCTCAGAAGGTGTTCTACCAACCTATCTCGCCTATTTCTTAGCGACTTCCATAGAATCCTCTGTTCTCCTATTCTTTCTAATACTTCTTCATTTCTAACTTTCTCTATTCACGGTATCCTCATCATTCACCTGTAACACCACATTTCGAACGCTTCTAACCTTTTCTTTTCTGCCGTGTCCACCGTCCTTGTTTCGCACCCCTACGGTGCCGAGCTCCAAACGTACACCTTTAACAACGTTTTTCGAATTTCTCAATTAACCGTTCGCTAGCATAGAAATGACTTCTTTTTATTAAAGGCGACTCGATCCTGCGCTATCCTCTGCTTTATATCCCTACTACTCCTTCCGTCCTGACTTATCAGACTTCCTAGATACCTAAAATCAGCCACTTTTTCTAATTTTTTTTCTTCCCTTGCATACCAGTATTTTTGTTTTATTTTTATTTATTTTCATACAGTACTGTTTTGTCAGTACCGCATCCATTTTATTTAAAACTATCTCTAATTCTCCTTGACAGATGCTAATATTGCTATATCATCTGCAAATCTAAGCATACTAATCTTTTGCCCCTGTATATCTATCCCTACAGTGGTACTGTCTTTAATGATGTTGATCGCGTCTTCGATGTATAGATTAAAAAGTAGCGGTGACAGTGTGCATCCCTGCCTGACTCTCTTCCTAATATTTACTTCTCCAATTGTATGTTGCAACCCCATCTCTATAATTGCCTGTTGGTCTTTATACAATTTATATCAATTTTAAGATACCATACAGATACAACAACTATTTGAATGGTACAAGTCCTTCCTTATTGCCAAGATTCTAGTTTCTAGGTGAATTTTAATATCCAAACAGTAACAAATGGAGGGGTTAAAATTAAATACATATTAAAATAGACGCATACATTTTTAGTATGAAATTAATTAAAAATTAAAATTTGTTTCAAATTTTCATAAAAGGTAAAACACAAATTCATATAATATGTATCACTATTGATAAACAAAACACCTTGACAAAGTAACATGAACATAAACTGCTACAACACGAAAATTTCTAATACTTTTCGACTATAGGAAACAAAAATTAACCACATTAAAATATAACAAGTTCCTTACGCAAGGTTTGTACGAAAAAATTATACATAACACATATCTATGTACATATGTTCCATGTTCCCCTTTAAATTACGATAAGATACCGAGCAATCAGAGAAATAACCCATTCAAACCATAACCTAACCTAATTTTAAGTTAAAATCAAGTTCTACTCATCAATCATGCATTAATAGTGGAGTTATCGTGATAATGTTTTAATTATACATATATTATTTCCTATGAGATTCTTTTTTTTTTATTTCGAAATGGAAAATTCCGGAAAATTTTCTGATTACAAATCATTTTCTAGACTATTCTGCTTCATAAAAACAGTTGGAAAACTTGCTCAATTATAATGTAACGTTTATTGGTATTTATTTATGACTTTTTTAATAATATTGTTGGGTACTTAGTAGAATAATACAGCTTTAAGTAACCCACACATCAACCAATTGGGTTTTTAGCGGTATACATAAGTACGTTATATGGAAGCTTAACTAAACAATTCGTGGGAAGAAATAAATTTGTAAATGCTAACGACCCCCAGTTCCATTCTTTACTGTACTTATTTGTTTATTGCAACCTTTTGTTCGGCATTTATGACTCCGTACCGGCTTCTTTATTTATCACAATACTAAGAATTTGAACTAATGTGAACATGAATCGGTTAATTATAATTTTAAAGTGGCACCAGACTACGATGATGTACGGTGTGATTCACGGACCTCGATCTTTCCTATTCGAATTTCTACGGATAAATATAGTGAAAAAAACAATGTGCCAACGGCGACCGCTTCGACGATAAAATGCTAATCCAGACAACTTGATATTTATTCTATTCTTGTCGGAATAATCGACCACTCTATGAATACCATTTCCTACCGGAAATCATAATGTATCTGACAGAAATTCGAAGTGCTTATTCCGTCCAATATAAAGAGGAAAAATAAGTCTTTTCGTTAAGTCGTTAAAATTTGGGAACTTCCTGATTTATCCATGTAGTGACATTATTTTGAAGTTATATCGCAGGATAATTGTAATTCGGCAAATATTGATTGATCTCCCATAAATCGAATAAACAAATTGTTAGTTTTGTTGGATCGCATCAGCACGTCGCAGACAGTTTCGACAGAACACAGACCAACTTTTACCTGCTGTCTTAACAGCACGTTTTATGAAATTCTACAAATGGCGCGGTAAACGCCATCTGTAGTACAACGCTACATTTTACGAATTACTGCGTATCCAGGCGTAGCTCGCCACTACGTGATACCATAATCGAATGAAGCCATTTTTTTAAATAATACTCCAAATGCAGCCCATCTAAGATCTTCACCCATCCTTCAACCAATTCTCGAATTCCTAGGAGAAACCAGCCCATATCTTTTGAATTAAAGAAGTCAATTGTAAGCGAGTCCCTACATTGCGAAGACAACTACTAGCAAGACGAAATTAGCGAAACTTGGCGAAATTAAACAACTTCCGTGTCAGCATTTATTAGTCCGGATTCACTTTAGCTTCGCTCCTCTGCTTCTTGACATAGCTCACTTTATGAGTGCAAAACAATTTAATAAAAAATCTTAAAACACAACTGATAATAAAATAAACGCACAATCTGTTTTGTCGAATCTGAAGTTTCATTTCAAAAAAAGATTACTAATGGAGCATTCTCAGTAATTATTTTAAATTTGATGTTTTATCTACAGATAAAGCAAAACATCCATCGATCACAGAAATTACACATTTATCGTTTTTATGTCGCACGACGGAAAATGCATGTCTGTAATCTGCTTTTGCAACTACGTCTATCTGAAAATAGCAACTGTTTTTCTGAAAACTGCCCTAAAGCAACCGAATTCTCAAAATTTTTTGAAGAAATCAGCAGTTCCAAAAGGTGTAATTTATATTTATTGGACCTATATTACTTCATTATTTAAATGAGAAGATGGTTTAAGGTATTAATACGAATTTTCCTGCGTTATATTTATCAAAAGATGATGCTGCCCCCCGGGTACCGGATCCAAACCGGGTTACACGACCCATATCTACATTAGATACTTGGAGTACCTGCTTCATCACATCACTCACTTTCTTTTCACGTTTGCAAATTTGTTAATTTATTTTGTGCTTGAAGTTAGACCTAGGAATGTGAAGAACACGGTATCGGTTAGTCAATTAATTAATATTTAACAGGATTTATTTAACATGAATAACCACATCGTGGCCATAAGAATATACAATGATCTGAGTACCGACCTTAAATTACTAAACATCAAAAGTGCCTCATTCAAATTGAAAATAAAGAATTGGATTAAAGCCAATATACTAGGATAAAAACAAAAAAAGAAAAGAAGACTGAAAAATCGACTGTACAAAAATCACACAATTAACTATTAACCTATAAAGGTCTATTAATGCCAAATAAAAATAAAATTGTTATCACTGATTAATTAATCTTAGATATAAGAACCTATATATGTGCAATAGGTATTATTACTTAAGATACAAAAGATCTCACCATAAAATGTTAAAATATATATGGTCAAAGATAGATAATTATAAAAACATTACATATATAACTAATATCATCTTAATTAAATGTAAAATAACATTTGAGACAAACTCATAGATTTAGTATTAAGCTTCATATATTACATTAACTGTTATTTTAGTTATAAGCTTTCTTCTACTCTCCTCTTTATCTTTTCTTTAACCAGACTGCGAACAGGTAACTTATTACCTCTGCAGAATTACTGCAACTTATATGTAATAATATATGTATGTATGTATGTAATTACTTCTGGTTCAAATAAATAAATAAATAAAATAAATTTATCACGTTAATAACATAAATGAAATGCTTGTCGTTCGAGAGTTAACAGAAAAATATAATAAAAATTGAAATTATCAAAAACCGTTCAATATACGTATATAAAACATTTTGATATGCGAACTCTTTTTAACGTCCACTTATCTCGTTAAACCCCAGGCTTATGAAATGCTAGTGTACGGTAATATTTTGAAGAACTTTTAGGTCCACTACCTTCTCGCATTCGCCTGACGTTATTTCTTGGATCACTCTGTATAAATAACCGTACGAATTCTAAATATTCTTCGAATGTTAAAATTCAAAGCTGGATTGGAGTGAGAGGTATTTTATTAACGATGTTTCGCACCTCTTTTACAGTGCTTCTTCAGGATAAATGAGTAATTTTTTTCTGGAGCATTCTATATGAACCAGAACTAATTGTAAATCTACTTGATAAATTGCTATAACGGAAGACGCGTAGTAGTAGAGAGTAAACATATTTGACCTTATCTCTTCCGAACAGCATATTTTGACCCTATCGCTACTCCACGATATCAGTAACATGGCACTTGAACATCATTTTTGTATTATCTGAAACAGGATCTTGTTGCCTGTAGGCCTATAACTGGCATCTAACATTTAACAACAACCTCTTACTTTAAACGAGAAGAAACAACTGAAGTAATTTACGTAATTTACCATTGTGTGTATCACGAAGTTTTTCATTTAGGGTAGTAAGTAATAGGACGTTTTACTGTCTTATGAATTTATTTTATTACATATATCTAGTACCTATTGAAGACCAAATGAAGATATTGCTATGAAATATTAATTAGTTAACAAAAATCGCATTGTAATCAATGCTCAAAATTGGATGAAGGCGAACGCATACGAATTTCTTAGAACTGGTGGATGCGTAAGTCCGATAAATTCCTTAAATTTTTTAATCAAAATAGGTCACAGAGAAAGCGGAAAAACAGGGAGGCATTATGAAGAACGACTGTTAATTGCGTTATAATGTTATTATTCTGTTTTTAATGGATTATAATGTTCATAGTATACGCACTGTAAAAAATATTCCACAGCAGATGTAGTAGTACAGTGTAGTTTTTTGTAAAACTTCATGGAGTATAAAAAATTCGCACAAATACGAAGTCATTGGACATTACTCATTCTTTTATTACATTGATGGTATTTCTCAATTAATAGCCTACATAATATGTGTTTTGATTGAAATTTTCAGACTCTAATTATAATTAGTGCGTTGGTTTTTAATTTGACTGTGTATATTAAAAATGATGTGCATTATTTCAAAAATTCTCAAGAATTAACACGTTTTATTTCTTCCAAAAAAGAACGTTTGAATGCTCGTAGAATTTTTTGTTTGGTAACCGTCTTTATGTTCTTCTAATTTAATTTTTAGTGCTATTTTTGTTTATCCTGTACAATTATTTCAGTTGCAACTAATGGCGCTAATGCTATAATACTTTTAAACTGTATTTTCTCTCTCTAATAAAAGAGCAGTACTGGTTTTCTGTTACGAATTATGAAGAAAATAATGTTCTGCAGATGTGTTTTTATTAGACCATCCAAATCATGTTTTTAATAAAGCCGTGTTTCAAACCAGAAATTCCGCCTCGAGCTGTATTTTACTTACCCTGTAACTTATTAATTTTGTTTGTGAATGTTATTCTTACATATTTGGTTTTATTATACCAGGCATACTTATAAATAAGGAATGTGTCTTAATAGGTGTATTGGTATTTTTATTGCGCGATGTTAGTCAATAAACAATATTGTTGCCTTCAGCTTTCAACAACTACATGCTGCATATAAATATATGTACCTTATCACTGATTCTTATAATGTGAGCGTTGTTCAGTCGTATCGAAATTAACAAACCATTTAATCATCTGTTTACACAAACCAGCTAAGTAATTCTATACTGAACAGTGTGTTTGTCAGTAGAACATTATCTGACCCTGTTGATGAGCGAACGTGGCTCGTTTCTTGGGAAAAAAATTAATACTTGCTAGAGATCAAGAGACATTGCGTTTTCAGTCAGAGAAAGCTGTACGCATTTTGACACTTCTGCTGTGTAAAACGTCACGTTTTTGTTACTTTACTCGATTTTATTTTTGTGTGGTGTTTTGAAAACTTTTACTTCAACAGACTGATATCGATTAAAACTGGTTCTTATTCTGGACTATCGTGTATTTTTTAAAATTATTTTATTTATTAGAAAGACAAAGTGTTTAGGGTACTAATAGTGCACTAGTTGCTGGAGACGACTTAGGGGTACGTTTTCACCTGATTTATAAAAATTTAACTGTAATTTTAAGTACATATAAAGGTTTTTTAAAAATTCATGTATCTAGTGAGAGAATTTCGTACTATAAGAAAGTAAAATTTCCAAATGAAACGGTTAGATAGGTAATCTAAAACATTGTTGAATGTTGCTCATTTTTTTTTTTTTTGTGAAATAGATACGTATTTCAAATAGGCTTTCTTATTGTTTCAGTTAGTCGGTAGTAGTAAAAAGTGTAATTATGGGTGCAAAGCAGTCGAAGAGGTCCGTAGATATAACTACAACTCCGAAAAAAGAAGGTGAAAGTCCGGTCGAGGGAGAGGGAAGAGTAGAAAAAATCGGTGATGCCGATATTAAAGTAACCACGAATGGAACGGTTCACACAGATATCGAATTTGCGGTAAGTGTTTAATCTCGTAGTATCATGTTTAATAATGATCATTGTCATTACACTTGGCAGTCTCGACCGATCAAATATGTATACCAAATAAAAATTTAGGTAATTTTTTACATTTGTTGACATTGGAATTGAGACATCAAGTGTAGTGAGGTAGGTAGTACTCACCAAGTAAAGTAGTGTAGTAGTATTTACTAGAATTTTGTTTATTATTTGTTTAAAAATCAATGTGACTGAGATATAGGCTCTTAATCGGAGGAAATTCCAGTAGGTACGGCCCTGGCTTCAGCCTTCCGTCAGCTGTTCCCGCCAAACCATCGTTTGTCCTAAAACATATCCTCCTAACATTATTCTAATGTATCAGCTCGCATTCGGCGGGCAGGGGCATTAAAGAAACTCGAGTCTATCATAGATCTACCTGACTAAACAATGACGTCATCAATGCATATTTGGCGAGAACAGCTGCGGAAGGGCTGCAGCCAGGGCCGTACCAACCGGAATTTCCTCCAATTAAGAAAACTTTAGGAGCCTGTATCTCAAGCTACATTGGTTTCCGCATGGAATTAATACTACCAAACGATTCTATACGGTGAGTACTACCTACCTGACTAAACTTCATGTCTCAATTCCAGTGTCAACTAATGTAAAAAATGACCAAAATTTAATGAGCATTTATTACCAAAAAAATATTTTGATTGTTTAACTCATGTTTCGACGATCTTTTTGAGCTAGCAGAATAGTAATTAAATGAAAAAATTCTCCGAGCATTTAACTTCGCATTAGAGCTTTTACCGATTTTCTTTGCTTAAACCCGTTTTGATCCTCTTGTGTGTCAACGTATTGTCCAAGTCGCATGGAAAAATAAGAGCATTTTGGTAAATAATTTTTTCGCTCCTGCTCTTAATCTTAAGCTAGCAAAACAGTAACTTTTGAACAAATGCCGGGCGCTTAATTAGCGTTTAATGAGTATTTAATTGTCCATGTGCTTGGTGATTGCTCTTCCTGCTTAAGGGATATCTTCAGTGTTGCATATGGTTGCATGTCTCGAAAAATTGTAACATGAAACCAAGAATAATTTTGCTTACCATATTACACATTTGTTAATAAATGTAGATAATTTTTTGCAAAAAAAGGCGCTTGTAATATATAACTATTTAAATTGTGCATTCCTACGACAGTTATCATAAAGTAACTGATAGATCCTGGAAGCTGTTTACTTACATCATATTAATTAGACAGTTATGTTGTATAAATATTATTGAAAACTTATAACTTTTATTAAAATACTTAATTAAATGAGGTAAATAGTAACGTTGTATGTTCAGTTTTTTAAAGAAAGCATGTAGAATATCAAGGAAACATCTTTATAATCATTAGTAATCTATTTCTTGGTTACATTTCTGTTAATGTACACATATACCTACTACGTAATAAAATCAGCAGTTTTGCGTAATTACCGTTTTATGACTTTTACTTAAACTTTCTTGATTTATTGCACAAAGTCAAAGAATCTTTTAAGCTAATACTGTCATACTTTTAAATTTCGGAATACGATAAAAAAAAACAAATACAAAAAGGAAGATAACCAACGGCGCGGCGTCTAATACGTAATAATTACATTGTGATAACGTATAGCGTCGTAGCTGTTTCATTAAAACAAACAATTTTCTTTTAATTTTTTTCGCATCACTTTCCACGGTTTTATTATTCTTAAACAGGTATTGTCTATAATAAATCAATAAATTTACTATCTCTAATCCGTACGCTAATTAGTTTTAGTAAAGTAAAAGTTTATGTTAGAGTAGAAGTAAAAGGACTAATCTCGCTGTGATAGATTAATTAGATCTACCAGTACCAACTAACTGAACATGTAGTGTCTTAATAAAAATACATAGTATCTTTATTACTAGTCTAATTTCGGTTAATTAGTATTATCATCCATTGTATTTACTCGAGGACTTTCTGTACATCTAAGTAAATTGCAACGAGCACCTTTTAGGTACCTCTCAGTTCCTTTAGACAGTGTATCAGATACAGCACAGCGGGTCATAAAATACATTATTTATTATCTTTCAATTTCACCTAATATAAGAAAGAATAGTAAAACATATCCGACTGGAAATTAGTTAGTGCATTGGATCCGATGCGGATCAGAATTGCCTGAAGATTGATCAGAAATAAATCAGGCTATCTGATCCGGGTATGGTAGAAAATCGTCACGCCATGTATAATCAACATAGGATCCATTTGAAAAATCCATGTCAGATCTGTTTCTAAGATCCATGACGGATCCGTTTCTAAAATTCACGACGGATCCGTTTCAAACATCCATTTGACGAACAATATTGCATACACAATAAATCAGGTAAAAAATAAAGTTCAGGACATCGGATACAATGTTGATTTAAAGATTGTACCGAAACCGTAATAGAATTTGTAGCATTAGATTGTGATAAGACATTGGTCAGATGACTGGATTAAGGGATAGGATACTCTACTATGATTAATTTCTGACCAGATGGTTGGATCAACAGATTGAGTATTGTGCGCTGACCAATTTCTGATCGGATGACCAGATCAAGAAATGGAGTAATGTACTCTGATCAGAAACTGATCAGATCGGTGGATCAACGGATAGAGTACTGTACTCTGATTAAAAACTGATCAGATGGGTGGATCAACTGATAGAGTACTGTAGTCTGATCTGAAACTGATCAGATGCCCGTATTACGGAAAATCTGATCCGCATCTGATCATAATCCGGGTTCTCTGAACTAATTTCCAGTCGGATAAGAGCAATATGGAAGTCAATAGGAAACAGACGAGATAAGACACCTTCTTAGACAAGCTGAAACAAGAGTTTAGAAAGGCATAGGAAGGCCTAGATTAAATTACTGTTTGCAACAAATTGTTGAAGTTTAGGTACTTACGTCGCTCTAGTTTTCGGGAAATGGGAAGATTAGTACAATATTTAACTAGTTTGTTGACTGAAGACCTTATAATGACGATGATGGCAGTTATTTCTATGCTATTAAGACATCACTTAAAAAAAAAAAAGTTGTCCATTTGGCAGCCTGTACAGGGTACCGTCGAACCGATTTCGATGAGACAAAGAACAGATTATCAGGGAAAATCTAGGGATCTATACATGTATATATGTATATTGAAGGGTGACATTTTAAATTATCGATTGAGTACAATTAAATTATTATTTATTAATAATTTGAACCAATATTGAATCACTTTTCTATTAAGTATTGTGATTTATATAGAATTCTGAGAAATCGAAATGAGTTAATTAAGTTCGCAAATGCATTCACATGCATATTTCCTTTTTTAACTCTGAATGGAATTTACCGTAAAGATAATGGAATGTGTCACCGTTTTGAACGGTTTAATTGATCTTAGTAATTAATTTGTGAAATCAATTACACTTACACCTGCTTTACGCGTAATTAAGAATCTACTCACAATTTAAGAATAAATACCTGCATAAATACATGAAACAATTAATATACAATGTATCTACCAAGGTTGTCTTCACACCGGAAACTATTTATTGGAAATTTTATGAAGGAACTTACTTTTTATAAAAAGTGCTACCTTTTAGAGAGTATTTTTCAATTGGCTAAATTGTACGACGGATTAAAACTTGATGGATTAAAGACGATTAAGACTTTTATTATTATTTATCAAATAAATGCATTCAAGAAATATTGAAAAAAAATAAAAGTTTAATTTTACTTTGAATCCGTCCCCTGCCTATTTAAAGAAATGATTTGTAACACTTCTTAATTTCTTTTAAATTACAACTTAGGTTGAAATTTTTAAAAAGTACTTAACTGTTTATTACATACGTTTGTAGAAAACTTGATGGCTAATTAGAGATAGCCCGGGTACAACACTCGTTGTACTGCTCGATACTCAGCGTGTTCGGTATTTTTTAGTACTCGTATTGGTTCAAGTCGCGAGTATTAGTTACCTAATTGTTTTGATAAAAAACTTTAAAAGTAAGAGAGATTTAAAAAATTAGAAATTATTTTCATATCATAAGCAACAACTTGTAGTGTATTTTTCGGTGAAATAATAAACATAAGAGTGTGCATTTTTCATAATTGAATTTTTAATTTTTAGATATTTAAAGTTAGCAAATGCATAAAGCAAAGTTGCATAATAAGGTTTGAGCATAAAAAACTCTACAAGTGTAAGTAATTACATGTATGTACATATGTTTATATATAAAAGTACAGTTGTATTTAGGGTCAAACTTAATTCGTTTCCTAACTTCGCAAACTGAAGCACTCAAAACGTCGGGCTACTGTGTAGATCTGGTATTTTTTCTCATGCTTGTAAGCAGGGATCGTCAAAACAATATTTCTGTAGTAGGTCGAGGCATGTACGTGGTGCGAGTCCAAATTTTTTTCGGTACCTAATTGTGTCCATGAACCGATTCGTCCTTGATAAAGGGCTTTCGTTACGCCAAGTGTCATTGTAGTACTGCATTTTTTGATTCATTATAAAATAGTAGTTTCTTACCTTCCCTTCACATGTAATATTACGTTTTTATCTAGGGTTGCCATGTCTAATCGAGCATACAGAAGTTTTGTATAGTGTCACGATTATAATTTGTTATCCCTATGCTAATTCATTGACTGACCATCAAAACTTATAGGATACTTACTTCCCTTTAATCCTAAATCTTGATGTTTGATACAAATGTAATAAGTAATGAAAGAGTCCTAAAAATATTAATTTTTTACTGTTATTACATGACCGACATTTCTTATCTCAGCCATCCCATGAAGCGATTCTTCATTGCATTATTCTTTGTTTGAAGTGTACTGTCTCCTCCAACTTTAGTTATCTGATTTCCTACACCTTTTCATAATGAAGTATTTAAAAAATGGTTTATTTACCATTTGTAGATAACTTCAGTAAACACTATGTAATGTGCGTACATTATTATACTACAATTGTGCATATCAAACGTTGTAATATAAACG